TGTAAGCACAATCAATCATAATTCATTTTATGTTTAATAAATTGTAATTTATTGCCTAATCTGACTTATTCTGTAGTCAGCTACAAGCATGGCACCAGGAATTGCTGGTAATTTTTCGTATCCTTATATAATGAACTTCGTCTACTTTGATCTATTATTGACTTCTTTTCATAAAGGAAGCGGGTTAGGACGTCCTCATCCATCGCCATGTCTTGTCCACTTTGAACGCTTGATATCAAAGGACTCAGTTTCGTCATTTGTTGTTGTTGGAAATGAATCAGCCGAAAAGGTAACCTTGGATGGTCCTACTCATAATGATAATATAATACCGCCACCATTACCAGAAATTCCAAATGAAATGGATGGTGTAATTGATAGTGGAATGATGATTAAAGTACCTTTAATAAAATTGGCATGGGGAAGAAGTGGGGATAAAGGCGATGTTTGTAATATTGGTGAGTGATTGTCGTATATAAAGTATATGCATGTTTTTATGTTATATATTATGATTTTTAATGGTTTTTTTTTTTTTTTTTTTGTAGGAATCTTGGCACGTGAACCCAAATATTATCCATTGTTGAAAAAGTCATTGACTGAGGAGGTTAATTATTCATGAATTTTTATTTTCATTAATTTCGCATTTATAAGTCGATTAATAATATATATTTTACATAGGCAGTCAAAGACTACATGATCCATTTATGTAGAGGGATAGTTAAGAGATACGAATTACCTGGTTGTAATGGATTGAATTTTGTGTTGACTAGATGTCTAGGTAAGTATTGTGAATGTTGTTATTAATTTTTTATGGTAATTTTATCTATTTTTTATACTTATTTAATCAATTTCTCTCACAATATATTAGGTGGGGGAGGTTTAAGTTCTTTAAATATCGATAAACAAGGAAAAACTTACGCTCAAATGCTGCTAAGTTTTGAAGTTGACGTACCATCAAGTTGGTTTGCTAAACTTTAGATATTTGTATTTATCTTTATATATAATTGCACAGAGCAATTAAGAAAAAACCGAATATTAGAGGTTTGAATTTGTTATCGTATCGGATTTATATCTGAGTTGGGATTTGTAGAAAACTCATTAATCATGTTTTACATTAACCGATTATTTATGCTAAAGTAATTTTTTAAAATAAAAAATTCCGAGTGATGTAGAAGAGTCGTTTTGCCTATTGTCCAAATGTTTTATTTTATATATATACCAAAAATTTAATTATCGCGGTTTTCGAAATGGTTGAAAATGGCAAATAAATTTTTTTTTGGTGAATACTGCGAATACTCGAACATTCGATTACCTTGGCACATTGATTAAAGATTGATGCCCGATTTTACATACGATGTTATTGTTTTTGTAAATAATTCGTATGCATATAAAATCGGGCATCGATCTTTAATCAATGTGCTAAGGCAATCGAGTATTCGAAAACCGCGATAATCAATTTTTAGTTTTTTGATTTTTTTTAAAAAAAGTGGGATGAAATTTACCGATATGTTGTTTCTCAAAACGGCTTTTATAATCGGGTATTTGGTATACTAAGTAAAAATGTTCAGCACCTTAACCTCTACTTAATTTAAGCTTTAAACCCTAACCCTGAGTTTAATTTTAGCTTTAAAGTTTGTGGTATAATTTTTTATAGATCATATAATAATAATTAAAATCATGAAGGGGAGTTAATAGAAATGGGACAAATCATTTTTATCAACTTTTTTTAAAAACTTTAATCAAAATATCTTAATCAAATTTAATAAGCTTCTTTTTTTTTTTTAATTCTAAAATTATTAATATAGAATAAAAATAAAGAAATTTTTACTAAACTTGGGTTTATAGTTGTTGAGATATTTTAGCCTAAAGTCAAGAAAGCTTAGAAAAAATTTGACTCATTTCTATGACCTCCCTTACATATTGTAGTGAATTTCACCTCCGGTAAATATTAAATAAAAACAGTAAAATTGTAACTTATTATTACTGGAATCTAGAATTGTGTAGCAATAGAATTTGAGGATTAAATATTTATCTTATACGTATACAGTATATAGCTAGTTAACAAAATCGGCAAGCACAAAATTTGTGTGCAATTTGTAATTTGGTATTTCATTAAATTGATTCTATTAGGAAACATGAGAGAATTAACATCATTTTATTACTATATAATATGCATTATATCCTTCATGTTATAAGTAAAAGAATGTCTTATTTCAAAGAACTTAAATAACATGCAAATGGTGATTCTTTAACATAGACCATGTATTATCCTACGGATTCTATTAAATCCGGGTTAAATCCGCGTTAGATTACATATAAAGCTAGCTTTGTAGCATATCCTTAGGTTCGTTAATTAAGTTTTTGACCAATCCGAGTAAAAATCTCTGATCTAAATATCTGAATCTATCTGGATTTAAAAATCAATTCAGGTAGTCGGATTAAGGATCGAAGCTCTAATTCTGGATAATTAGCATTAATGGATAGGATTTGGGCTTTTGTACTACCGGTAGTACATTTTAAAAAATTCATAGCACAATCAAAAATAAATAAATTTTTACAATTTTATA